TTGGGCTCAATCCCTGGTAGGAGTTATAACTAAATATATATAGAAATATAGATATAGATATAGATATAGATATAGATATAGATATAGATATAGATATAGATAGATAGATATAGATAGATATAGATATAGATAGATATAGATATATAGATATATAAAATTATGATACATTACACAATGGAATATTACTTGGCTGTAAAAAATCTTACCTTTGCAACAGCATTGATGAACCTGGAGAGCATTATGCTAAGTGAAAGAAGCCAGTGAGCAAATGAGATTGTGGAAAAACAAGTACCTTATATATTCACTCATATGTGGACTCTAATGAATAAAATAAACTAAAAAGCAAAACAGAGAGACTCAGAGATAGAGAGTAGGCTGACAGCTGTTGGCATGGGGTGAAGCTGGGTGGAAAGGTGTAGGGATTGAATAACAACAACAACAACAACAACAAAACAACACCTCATGGTCATGGAGAACAGTGTGGTGACTGCTAGGGGGAAGAGGAGGTAGAGGAGGGTACAGGGGATAAATGGTGACAGATGGAGACTTGACTTGGGGTGATGAATGAACAATACAGTGTACAGATGATACGTTGTAGACTTGTGCACCTGAAACCTGCAAAATTTTGTCAACTAGTGTTACACCAATTAACTAAACAAAAGGGGGAAAAAGGAAAAAGAAAGAAATATTCTGATTCTCCAATTAGAAAAAGTCTTTTCTTTAAAAAGACATCACTGACTCGATAACTACTTGTCCTTCCTGGTATTTAACACTAATGGTTTTTGTTTGGGTTTATTTTTTTTCCAATTGTTCATTTAATATGTGTGCTTCTTGCTAAACTGTACCCTCCATGAGGTCAGCGGTATTTGTCTTCTTCACTGGTATCCTAGCATGTATGGTTTCAGACATAAAAATATTTATAAGATTGTGACAGCAAAACAGAACAAAGAGTGACGAGAAACAGAAATGGACCAAATTAAAGAGAAAAGATGAACATGTAGGGACCCAAATGTGGCAGTTAACAGAGGAGCCTAAAGGGGGAAAAAAGATGAGAGACAACTGGCCTGTGTAAAAAGGATTAAGAAAATAATATTTTTCTAGTTTATAACAGCACCTACGCATGAGCCTGAGTTGTACTACCCAGCAAAGACAATGAAGAAAGTCACACTCAGAGTGGAACGAGCTCAGCATGTCACACAAGGATATGAAGGTTCAAACTGCATGTCTTCAAGGAAATGACAGGGTTATTCAAGTTCTTACATCCTATGTTTCTCCTGAATGTAATGCAGTTATGTCTGTCGATATACCTATTAAAATGAATGCTCAGACTAGAAAGAGATATATTCAAGTAAATGTTGAATTTTTGTATTTCAGACAGATGCATACTGTTGTGGGGTCGAACCCTGGGTTCAAAATAAGACCACTGGAGGCTGATAATTGATTAAAAAAAGCAGGCAAGGATTTGTTGAAAAACTGGCCAGGACAACCACAAGAGCACCACACGCAGGCAGTCCTTTTAAAGGCCTAAACCACAAGAATTTTCCTTTGTTATAAATTCTAAATCCGAACGACTAAATTCTAAAGACTGGGAACAGCTCGCAGAGTTAACTGTAAAGGTTATCTACAGTTTCTATCCCTGAAGCTACTGAATCAGTGGGAATCAATCTCCTGTGGTCCTGGTCCCAGGCAAGGGAAAACTGCCTTAGCCTCCATGTCTCCACCTGGAAGCTGAGGTAAATATCCTGTGTTTAATCAAATGCAGGAGCCAGACAAAAGGGTTAAAATTCAAACAGCAGTTTTTACCAAAGTACGGTTGCTACCATATTTCACATACCAATAATGTTTAGCTATGCCAATCATTGAAATTTTAAAGCAAATAATTCAACTCTGAATTCTCTCTCTCTCCAATCAGACAACAGTTTTGTTTTCCTGCAGAGATTGGATTAGCCTTCAGGAGGGCATCATGCCTCTACCAGAAGTCACATCACTTTGATAAGTCAAGGCATTTTAGCTCCATCTCCCAGAAAAGAGTACTCATCATTTGGGAATCACAACGAATGACCCTCAACCTCGATGGGCAGTGAAATTATTCCCAATGACACATGCACATGATGTCATATGCAACTTGATGATGATTTTTTCTTAATGATGAATGTGAAATTATTGTGCTTATTCTGGAAAGCAATAAAATTAAAAGGTATAACTAAAAAAGAAGACATATGTTTCTATAATCTGAAGTTATCTAAAGATATATGTCCAAAAAATTATAAGAAGTACATTTAAGGAGAAGAGTTAAGTAATAAAAAAGCTCTGAAATAAATATTTTTTATTAATAAGTAAACTTATATTTATGATGTTGGTGAAGGCTTATAGACAAATAGAAAAAAAAAAGGAAGAAATGAATAAATGGATTGGTATTTCCCTCCTAGAGTATATGTTTTCTTCCAAAAGAATCATTTTTGTCTTTAAACATATCAGCTTAGTTGAAAAGAGCAAAGTAGAGAGTCAGTACTTGCTCTAAAATTTAATTATCAGCGATAATCAGCGCTAATACTTTGGTATGTAACATTTCACACCTTATGCATGAAATATGGTTATGTTATATATATATATAGGCAGTTCAATATTCATGGTGGCCAGAAGGAGGAAACAACCCAAATGTCCATCAACTGATAAATAAATTATGGCCCATCCACACAATGGAATATTATTCAGCAATAAAAAGAAATGAAGAATTGACACATGCTGCAATATGGGTGACCCTTGAAAAGACTGTGCTCAAAGAAACCAGTTACAAAGACCTTATGTTATACTAGTAGCCCTACGCACAAATCCGTGCACCAGTAGCTCATCATTTGGGAATCACAACGAATGACCTCTACCCACTGCCCGTCCTCCTGTAGCACCTCCTCTCTTCCCCCGCAGATCCCTCTCACAGCTTGCTGCCCTGCCCTCCTATAGCTCCCTCAGACCCCTCTTCCCCCATCTCATAGCTTGCTGCTCCCCGCCCCACTCCTGCAGCTCTCCTGCAGCTCTCCACCTCTTATACCCAGTAATTCCCTGCCACCCTCATGTAGCTCTGAACCTGTTGCCCCACCCTTCTGTAGCTCCCTCGCCCCCCACCGCCCCATAGCTTGCTGCCCTGTCCCCTTCTATAGCTCTCTGCCGCCCGCTTGTAGCTTGCTGCCCCACCCTCCTGCTGATCCATGATCCGATTGTTACATGGTCGGTCATTATGCTTTACGGCATAACAACTATTTGCATATTACATCTTTAATACATAGGATGATTCTAACCCTATGAAATGTCTAAAACAGGCAAATCTACAGAGACATAAAGTAGCTTAATGGTAACTTAGGAATGGGAGATGGGACAGGGTATCACTACTAATGGATATTGGGGTTTATTTTAGGGGGAACAAAAATGTTCTCAAATGAGATTGTGGTAACAGTTGCACAAAGCTTTAAAAATACTAAAAAAAAATTGAATGTACACTTTAAATAGGTGAGTTATATGGTATGTGAATTATATTTCAATAAAGCTAGTTTTTAAATAAACAAAAAAATATTTACACAGGCAACTGCTTCATCTCCTCTTTGCAGAATAACAGATAATATTCCATTTCAATAAGATATGCAACTATACTGTTATGTATGAGTATACAATGTTCTATTATATCGATATACTAATATTTACTTATCTAGTGCTTTATTATTAGACTAGTGACCTTGTGGCTGCCACTTATCTCAGCTGGCCACCCTGCCCTCTGTTGCACTGTAGCTCTCTGCCGCTGGTAACTCTCACTGCCCTGCCCTCCTGCTGATCTGTTGTTACTGTCACAACGTAATGACCATTTGCATATTACCTAGGATAGGAACTTATTTCCAATTGCTGCATTAAACACCCACCCATGTATGCATATATCTCTGCACACTTGTCTTATTATTTCTGTAGAAAACAAAAAAATCAGCCCTAACCGGTTTGGCTCAGTGGATAGAGCTTCAGCCTGCAGACTGAAGGGTCCCAGGTTCGATTCCAGTCAAGGGCATGTACCTTGGTTGTGGGCACATCCCCAGTAGGGGGTGTGCAGGAGGCAGCTGATCGATGTTTCTCTCATCAATGTCTCTAGCTCTCTATCCCTCTCCTGTCCTCTCTGTAATAAAATCAATAAAATATATATTTTTTTAAAAAAGAAAGAAAACAAAAAATCAAACTGTGGGTAAAGGGTCTATATTCAATCATACTGTCTGATGGTCCTCCAGAAAGGCCATAGTAATTTTTAAAAAATATGTTTTTAATGATTTCATAGAGGAAGGGAGAAGAAGAGAGAGATAGAAACATCAATGATGAAAGAATCATTGATGGGCTGTTTCCTGCACGCCCCCTACTGGAGATTGAGCCTGAAAACCAGGCATGTGCCCTTATTGGGGAATCAAACCATGATCTCCTGGTTCATAGGTTGACACTCCACCACTGAGCCACACTAGCCTGGCAAGGCCATACTAATTAACATTCATCCCAATGGAAACTAGAGTATTATTGTCTCTACATTCCCACCAATGCTGAGCATATAAAACTAATTAATCTCTAATAATGAAATGTGACACAATTTTTAAAATGTGTATTTCTTTTATCATTGAATTTTAACATTTTTAATCATTTAATTTGTCATTTTTTATCATCTTTATTAACTTTTCTGACATATGCTACAAATTGTTCTCACCAATATGCCTTTTAGCTTTCCTTTATGGCAATTCTTTCCCTACACATTCTAACATTTTATATGCATAAATTTATTATTATCTTTATGGCACCTAGCCTTAACACCTAGCCTTTCACCATCCTAATAGCATAAAAATAACATCCTGTATTTTCTTCTTGCACATGTCATTTTACTTTATGTTTCACTTGAATAATCCATCATTTCCTACTGATCTGCGATCGTGTGGCATTAACTTCTTTAAGTCGGGCCTGTGAAATCTATGTAAAGGATGACTTACCTAATTGCTGAGCCCATTTTATGGCAGTACCAGTGTCTCCTGCATTGCTTTCAGCTAAGCATACAACCTCTTGTCCAATCTTCCACCCAATCAATGGATAAAAACCTTAAAAACAAACAATGTAATTCATATTGTAAATAGATAATTCATTGCAGACATCTATAATTGAAAATTTTGATTAACTAAAAAACTATCAAAGTGGCTCTGAAGTCAGAATGCCTGGGGTCAAATCCCCATCTTTTCTTCTTTACTAGCTGTGGTCTTGAAAATTTCTAACTGCCCTGGCCAGTTTGGGTCAGTGGATAGAGTGTCAGCCTGCAGACACAGGTTCGATTCTGGTCAAGGGCACATGTCTGGGCTGTGGGCTCAATCCCCTGTGGGGGTATTCAGGAAGCAGCCGATCAGTGATTCTCTCTCATCATTGATGTTTCTCTCTCTCTCTCTCTCTCAATTTCTGAAATGAATATATATATATATATATATATATATATATATATATATATACATACATACATATATATATATATATATATATATATATATAGAGAGAGAGAGAGAGAGAGAGAGAGAGAGAGAGTGTTTCTAACTCTTAGTATCAGTTTCCTCAACTAAAATGGTATACCTCAGACAGCTCTTGTGAGAGTAAGCTGAGTTAATACAGAAAGAGAACTTAGCATAATGCCTGGCACATTATAAATATTAGCTTTTATTAGCTTTGTACAATAATGTCTCTGGAAACACAGAAATAATATTTGAATTGAGAAATAAAAAGTTATTAGAAACTAAAGGCCCAGTGCATGAATTCATGCACCAGTGGGGTTCCCTCGGCCTGGCATGTGGGATAGGGCCCAAACTGGCTCTCCAACATCCCCTGAAGTGTCCTGGATTGCAAGAGGGTGTAGGCCAAGCCGAGGGACTCCACCAGTGCATGACTGGGGCCAGGGATGGACATGAGAGGTTGGCCAGCAGGAGAGGGGACATGGGAGGGTTCCAAGGCATGTCCGGCCCATCTCGCTCAGTCCCAATTGGCCAAACCCCAGATGCAAGCTAACCTACCAGTCTGAGTGTTTGCCCCCTGGTGGTCAGTGCACATTATAGTGAGTGTTTGTGTGGCTTTAGCATATCATTAGCGTATTATGCTTTAATTGGCTGAACACACAACCAGACATTTTGCATATTAGGCTTTTATTTTATAGGATTGGTTAGCTTAAGAACTGTCTTATCTATTGCATTTATCTGTGGTTTCTAAACAACCCTCCTAAGGTAAAACAACCTCATGCAATGATAAACATTTTATAGCTTCTATTTTCCAAGTTAGGGGAAAAGGAACAGATTTAGTGAGAAATGGAAGGTAGGAAAAATATTTTTAAATCCACCTCTTAGTAACCATGTTAGGGGATCAGAGGTCAGACTAAAAGCCCTCAGCCTTTCTGGGTATAGTTACACAATTGAAATTTCTTGATTTATACATCCCAAGATTTTTCCCATTAGGGAGAAAAATTCCTAGTAATTGCCATTAATATGCAGGGATCACTAGTTGAGAACAAGCACCTCAAAAAATTCACAAGAATAAAAATAATTTCTTATACATAAACAATACTTTAGAGGTTTAGAAAGATGTGTTAGACACGTTATAGATAAACTTTTAGAAACCTAACCAAAATACCTTAATCCATCTGAATTTTTCTATAAAATCTCTCTCATTTTTCATGCTTTTAATGTAAAGATAAAAGGAAAATGGGGATTAACTGTCTCTAAGAATAATAACTTAAAGTATGTTAGATAATATAAAATGAGAAAATACTATCATAAAAGTTAAATTTGCAAAAAGTGGTATTTTTGTGTGTGTGTGTGTGTGTGTGTGTGTGTGTGTGTTTTAAATATATTTTATTGATTTTTCACAGAGAGGAAGAGAGAGGGAAAGAGAGCTAGAAACATCGATGAGAGAGAATCATCGATCAGCTGCCTCTTGCACACCCCCTACTGGGCATTTGCCCACAACCAAGGTACATGCCCTTGACCAGAATCGAACCCGGGACCTTTCAATCCTCAGGCTGACACTCTATCCACTGAGCCAAACCGGTCCTGGCACAAAAAAGTGATATTTAATTAATCAATAGGATAAATTCTAAATATTTACCTCCAACATTCTGTTGAGGGTAACTTCCAGTGTTGATGTCCAGAAATGTCCCAGTCCCCATGGTCAGCTTCACATCTCCTGTCTGGAAGCAGCACTCTCCAAACATGGCTGCCTGCTGGTCAGCCACCTGCCAAAAATTCAAACAGAGACCTTGGAACTCTAGCTGTGGCCCATTTCACTGCATCCCACTGGCTCTCTGAATGTATTCTCATGGTTCAGCATCTTCTCTTTTTTCCTTTTCCTTGAAAAAAAAATGTTTAGAGAAAACAGGGAGCAATAACTATAGGCTAGGAATCTCTAGAATTAACACTGTATGGAGAACTAATGCGCCTCTAGCAATTTTTACTCAGCAACCTACTTCATGAGTTTTAAGTATTATAGGAATAACCTTAGAAATAAAAGTCAGAATAAAAACTGTGCAGGAAAAAATCCCAAGATATTTTGTTTACATTTTACAAGCAGTTTCACTCAGTCAAAATAATTGACCTCACACCTTTCTTTTAGTAAAAGTGACAGATGTATGCTTAACTAGAAATAGATATAACTCAATACCATACATCTTCCGACAATACATTTTTTATTTTAAAAAGTACAACATTCTGTTAATATAGTTAAATGTAGATACATATACAGCAAAATTAATCTGAAGAACGCTTTCTTACTAATCTATAGTTTTTCCAGCCATAGCTGAGCCTACCCCTAGATTGAATAAGACTGATCATCTCTAAATGAAAAAGAATTTATAAGTTGGGCATTAAGTTCCCCTTCCCTCATTTGTTTCTTCTACCTACCAATGTGACTGTCCATCTAGGGACATGGTCTATACTTCCTGCTTAAGCCATTACAGGAAATCAAAGGCAAGATATACACAACCTCTCAATCAGGTGGTAAATCTTTGGGATTCTCCAAGTTATGAATCACTCTTCCAGAGAGAAAGTAGAATCAAGAAAGAACCTTCAAACACCAGTACAGCTAATTTTTCATTCTTCCACAAGTTTCTCTACTGGCAGATGCTGGCTAAGGACTTATAAAATGTAAATACAACTTCTTTAAGTGCCATATCATTTTTTTGGTTACATTGTATTGAATATAAATTAAGCATTGGCCCTATTATTATTCTTATATATCAGAATATCAAATATAAACCAGTATTATTCAGAATATATCGATAATAATTTTTAAATATTTTAAGTTTCCTAAAAAACAATATATAGAGAACTCAGAAAAGGCTGTGAAGTCCTCTTTTCAGAACAGAAAATACTTTTGATTATATCCAAGGTATAAAGAAAATAAAAAAAGATGCTTTAATTTTAATCTGCAAGGACCTTTTTTTAAATCTCATATCTAATCCCAACTATTCATATAATATTCATTTACTTTATACTATACAAGAAGAAAACCTCAAATTTTCAACTTACCAAGGCCATTATTGGTATAGGCACACCAAATATCTCTTCATCCACTGATCCAAAATTGAAGCTTCAAATAAAATTGATTTAAAAATAAGATATAATTCTAGCAATGTTAATTTTGAAATTTAGGAATTTTTTTTTTTTTTAGCATAGGCCAAAATGTTATCTATCTATTCATCTATCTATATATATATAAAAGTCTAAGCAACTGTTCCAGTGGACTGACTGGTCACTATGATGCTCACTGAGCAGGCAGGCAGGTGAGCAGTTAGGGGCAAGCAGGCAGGCAGTGGGCAGTTAGAGGAGAAGAGGCAGGCAGGCAGGCGAGCAGTTAGGGGCAAGCAGGAAGGCTGGTGAGCTATTAGGGGCAAGCAGTCCCAAACTGCGAGAGAAATGTCTGACTGTCGGTCTAGGCCCAATCTGGATCAGGCCTAGACCAGCAGTTGTACATCCCCTAAGGCACATGTGTCAAACACAAGGCCCTCGGGCCAAATCCGTCCCGCCAGGCCTTGCAATGTGGCCTGCACCGCGCTGTCATCACTGCACTCTGCTGCGTTTCCATCACAATGACAGTTTATGACTGTTCAGTAAACCATTCGGCCCACTATTTAGGCTGGATTTTAGATTTTGGCCCCTTCTCTGATTGAGTTCGACACCCCTACCTTAAGGTGTCCTGGATTGCGAGAGGGTGCAGGCTGGGCTCAGGGACTGCCCCCCACTCCCTAAGCACCAGACCTCTAGTCTATACTAATAAAAGGGTAATATGCTAATTAGACCAGACTTCCTTTTGGACAAAGCCACGGTAGTGGGGGCTGAGACAGAGGTGGTTAGGGATGATCAGGCCAGCAGGGGAGAGCAGTTAGGGGCAATCAGGCTGGCAGGGAAGAGCAGTTAGGGAGATCAGGCCAGCAGAAGAGCAGTTAGGGGTGATCAGGCCAGCAGGAGAGGGCAGTTAGGGGAAACCAGGCCAGCAGGGGAGGGAAGTTAGGGGTGACCAGGCCAGCAGGGCGAGCAGTTAGGGGCAATCAGGGCAGCAGGCAGAGTGGTTAGGGGCGATTAGGCAGGCATGCAGGTGAGTGGTTAGAAGCCAGCAGACACAGATTGCAAGAAGGATGTCTGACTGCCAGTTTAGGCCCAATCCCACAGTCAGATATCCCTCGAGGAGTCCTGGATTGAAGAGGGTGCAGGCCAGGCTGAGGGACCACCCCTCCCGTGCATAAATTTCATGCACCAGGCCTCTGCTCCTATATAATAAAAGCCTAATATGCTAAGTGTCCAACCATTTGACCAGTGGCTATTATGCACACTGACCACCAGGGGGCAGACGCTCTGACCAGTTGGTTAGCTTGCTGCTGAGGTCCAGCCAATTGGAACTGGGTGAGACAGGCAGGACACATCCTGGAGAACCTTCCACAGCCCCTCTCCCATCCTGATCGTGCACCGGTGGAGTCCGTTAGCCTGGCCTGTGCCCTCTCACAATCCAGGACCTCTCAGGGGATGTCAGAGAGACAGTTTTGGCCTGATCCCCGCAGGCCAGGCTGAGGGACCCCACTAGTGTATGAATCTGTGCACCATGCCTGTAGTATAACATGTTCACAAAGTACCCCAAACATGTAAACCAAATACTTTTCAGTTTTAAATCAAATGCTTTTTCCTCACCAGGAAAAATGAATTCAAGGGCTATTTTGCTGGTTTCTAAGTCCAATGTTCATTATTACCTAGTATCCCTCACAGGAGGCAGGAGAGAGAGTGGTATTGAAAGCAGAGAAGTAATGAAGCTGCTCCAACACATCTGAACATAAAAAATATATAATCAGAATCCAAATTAAATTACACAAAAAGTGATGATTCAAGGAGGGAAAAACCCTTTACCTCATATGGATCAAAAAGTCCAGTGGTACTGGCATTTGAAAAATCCGTGGCAAATTCAGAACCTAAATTTACATTGGAAATAATCTTTTATTATCAGGTAGTGTAAACATCTATCTCTAGTTTATAATCTAGACCAATTTTTGACCTGAAAATTCATTCCAAAATGTGTATTTCCAGTGAAAAGTCTCCAAAACAATTCCCACTTAATCTTTATGAACTTCCATAATTTACAAAAGTACTTTCACACACACTGTCATGTTATGACCCCCAGTTTAAAGGTGAGGAAGGGGGTGCAGAGCTACAATGTGATTGCCTATAGTTATACTCAGTTGCAAAATGGGACATTTGATTCTAAACCCAAATTTTAGTGGGCTTAAAATTAAGACGGTTACTCAGTCATATATTTGAGGTTTAACCAGTTTTAAAATTCCCATCCACTTCCAACAAATCTGAAATTAATCTAGCTTTACTAAAACATGTAGTTAGTAGGGAACCAAAAGGCAACATGCCTGGGCTATAGGAAGGGGAAAAATAGTAACTTCTACTATTTTTAGGTAAATAATTTCTATTAGTCAAATTTCAGCTACTTGTGATAGATTTACCAAATCATCTTTACCTTTTGTGAGCTTATGTAACAACCAGGTATCAATAGTCCCAAAGCAGCAACTTTCTTCTTCAATTGCGTTTTGTACCTTGAAATCAGAATAGCACAAATCAATTTTAAAAAGCCAAATTATTAAGTGCCAAATTATTAAGTGCATGATTAGGTGCATGATTAAGTGCCAAACAATAAATATAATGCAATCCCATTTATGATAAAAATTAATATATAGAAACAATTTCTAACAGTTCTAAGCAATTACTATAGGGCAGTAGATCTCAACCTTTCTAATGCCGCAACCCTTTAATACAGTTCATGTTGTGGTGACCCCCAACCATAAAATTATTTCCATTGCTACTTCATAACTGTAATTGTGCTATTGTTATGAATCGGTTCTAAGACCATCGGGAAAGACAGATATTTACATTACGATTCATAACAGTAGCAGAATTACAGTTATGAAGTAGCAATGGAAATAATTTTATGGTTGGGGGTCACCACAACATGAACTGTATTAAAGGGTTGCAGCATTAGAAAGGTTGAGAACCACTGCTATAGGGTATGAAACCCTTTAGTTTTAAACCAAGCATGTGTTACTTTAGTGAAGAAAAGTATATACATTTTTTTAAGTTGGACATATAAATATCTCTAACTATAAATAGCCTAAAACAGGAGATGCACACAATGGCTCACAGATAAAATCCAACCCCTTGCTTTTTCTGTACAGCAAGTTAAGAATGGTGTTTAAATTAATTGGTTAAAAAAGAAAAGAATTATATTTTGTGATACATGAAAAGTAGTGTATGAAATTCCAATTCCAATGTGCATATTAAAGCTTTAGTGGAACACGCCACGCTTACTTGTTTATGAATTATATTGTTCCTCTGGCACTAAAATGGCAGAGTACTTGTGACAGAAACTTGTGGTTTTAAAAACCTCAAATTTTATTATCTGGCATTTTACAAAAAATACTTGCCAATCCTTAGTGTAAAGCATGCAAAAGGAAACAAAAGTATCAACTAGCTAGTAGAGAAACTGAAATGCTCATTAGAAAATTATTTTTTATTTATTTATTTATTTATTGATATGGTCTCACATAATTGTCCTTATTCCCCCATTCCCATCCCAAACCCCTCCCTAGATATGCTCTCTGCCATTCCCCCCCCCCTTCCTCATTGTCCATGGCCACTGGCCAGGCCCCTATATATGTACACAAGTCCTTTGGTTGATCTCTTCCCCTTACCCCTATTTCCCCTTATTTTCCCTCTGAGGTTTGAGAGTCTAGTCGCTGGTTCTCTTTCTCTGGGTCTGTTTGTGTTGTTCATTATTTCCTCTAGATGTGTGGGATCATGTGATCCAAGAAATACCCTTGTAAGAACCTAAACTGCTACAAGCCATAATGGTTATGCTGAGAGGCAAATGAGTCAGTCTGTAGTGAATTCCTTTCTGGGCCAACAGTTCTTTTGCATCCCAATTTCAATGCCAGATAGTTCCTTATGTGTTCATGCCAGCCCTGATATTTCAGATCTGGTTGGTATATTTTCAGAAAATAACTCCAAGACCATCTGGAATTCGTTAGAATATTATTAACATTCTGAAAAATAATTCCCTAAATCATAATATGTCACCTCTCCAACTCTTACTTTTCCATCAAGACTAACATTTCCTAGCTTTGTTCACCCAGCACCTAGAGATAAGATAGCTTCTATACAGCCATTATTCCCCAGCCTCATTACTTCCTTATTCGACCCTATGCTCCTTAAGAGCATTCATATTTAAAACCCTAACAACTAGGAGGGTTTTTCTGGAATACAGCAGATGCTTAAAGAAATGCTTGCTAAATAAATAACTGAGATAAAAAGAATGTCAAATGAAGACATTTAAGATGAATTATATTTTAACAGTAGAATCAATAAAATGAAAATGAAGTCCAGAAAAAAAAGTCATTTGTAGGTTATTTGTAACAAGTATTTTGAAGACTCCATCCATCCAAGTGTTCTATCACTTAAATATGGAGTGCTTAAAATGATATTACATGCAAACATTTGTTAAATTCAGAAGTTATAATTCTAAAATTAGTTCCAAATTAGACAAAGATTAATCTGTATTTCAGTAAGAAATATAATACCTGGCTGATAGTAAGTTCATTTGTCCATTTAAAAAATATTTGAGTCATAAGCCAATGAGAGAGAAACATCAATCGGCTACCTTCTGCATGCTCCTTACTGGGAATTGAGCCTGCAACCTGAGCATGTGCCTTGACCAGAAATCAGAACAGCAACTTCTTGGCGCACAGGTCGACGTTCAACCACTGAGCCACATCAGCAGGGCCTCGCTTCTTTCACTTAGCAACATATATTAAAGATTTCTCTGACTTTTTGTGGCTTGGTAACTCATTTCTTTTTCTCACTGATTAATATTTTATTGTTTGGATATGTCAGTTTGTTTATCAGGGTTTTCTAAAGTAGGAGGACACGGGTCAATCCTCCTTATATTGGGTTAAGATTCCAAATGACACTATTAGTCAAATTAGGGCAAACTAAAAGATAGGCTCTCACAGGAACTATAACTCAGTTTTGAATCATCTCAATCTTTAAACTGGTTTGAGATAATCCTGGCGCCTAAAAGAATGGCAAAAACAAACATACATCATATTGAGAGCAAGATAGCATTATGTTATACACTCATAATTTCTACACAAAATTTTGAAAATACAATGTCTAGCTCATATATATATACATACATACAAGTAACTAACTAGGCTCACCAACCTCATCAACTTGTATACTTTGAATGTATGCTTTTTGTAAGTCAATCATATTTAAATGAATTGATTTAAAAATTTCAAAAACCAATTAATTAACCAGGCATAGGAGGACACAAGAGAATATGGGGGGGGGGGGGGGGGGAAAACAAGCAACACATGAAGGCTACATATATTGCTCTGAATTCTTGCTCTGGTAGGTTGCTTGCCTCTATCTCGTTTACTTCCTTTTCTGGTGAAGCCTGCTTTTCTTTCGTATGCGGGCTGTTTTTTTGTCTCTCCATGATCTAGGATGTCTGGTTGTGTAGTTCTCTCTCTCCTTTTCGCCGAGCAGTGGGGCACTCCAGTGTGGCCAGGTGTTCGCGCTGCCTGGGATCTGCATTCTGAGGGTCACAGATGCTTGGTGGTCGCTGCGGCTGTGGATATTCAGGCCTCTGACACGATCCTATCTTCCTCTCAAGATGGCGAGGTTTCCCCGACCAAGCCGGTAGGTAGCTCCAGGCAGGGACGTAGCCTGCGTGGGTGCTTCCCTGTGAGGGGTACCTCTGTTAGCGGCCCCCCAGCAGTTTCTTCTGGTGTTCGCTGTCTCCCAGCTTGCTAATAAACACTCACAGCTCAAGACCATCGGCTGTTCTCTCTTTCTGCTTTGGGAGAGGGCTCAGAATCCGCCCTTCTATTCTTCCACCATCTTACCTCTTTCGAAGCTACATATATTGGAATTATGTAATAGTTATGGACCTTAAAATACTATGATAATTATGTGACAAAAATAGTGTGGAACTAAAAAATTAAGAACTTAATGGATGTGTTTTAATAATGCATTAGAAACATATAAAGAGAAAATAATAGATTTGGAAGACAGATTAGGAGGAATATCCATAATAAAGTACATGGAGAAAAAAGAATAGAAAATACGTAAAACAGAGAGACAAAGAAAATTTAGTGAGGTCTAATATATATCTAATTGGTCTTTGAATCAGAAATTACATTTTAGATAATGGCTGAGAAATGTTCAAAATCAACAAATAATATCAAGGAATGAATTCAAGACACCCTAAAAGCCTCAAGTAGATTGCCATACCTAGAAAATAGGTGCAGAAAATGTGTTTGATAAATTTAACACCCACTCAAAATAGTCTTAGCAAACTAAAATAAGTAATTTTCTTAATTTGATAAAGAATATCTAAAGAAAATCTACTACAAATTTATACTAACTTGTGAAATGTTGAAACCTTTTGTTCCAAGATTAGGAATGAGAAAAGGATATTTGTGGTCATTCCTTCTAGTCAATATATCCTAATATGAGGGTGACAGGATCTTTGACTTGGGTGGTAGGCACAAGGTCCTATGTACAAATTTTGTAAATTAGTAATCTACACATGAAATCAATATGTTCATGTTGAATAATGTCACTGCAATAAAATTAAAACATACACACACCAAAACAACAACAAAACAAAACAAACAAAAAAACTCCAATATATTCTAGAAGTCCTTGTCGATACCCGGAAAATAAAAGTAAACTCATATTTCTACATAATATTAAGGTTATTAGGGTATTAAAAATTAAATCAATGCCGCTGACTGGTGTGGCTAAGTTGGTTGGAGCAATATCCTGTATACCAAAAGGTTGCAGGTTTAATTCCTGGTCAGGGTATATACCTAGGTTTCGGATTATATATTCATATGGGAGGGAACCAATAGATGTCTCTTTTCTCCCTGTCTCTCCCTACCCTCCGCCTTGCTTGCACCACTGCCTCCCTTACTCTTCCCCCCTCCCAGCCTCTGCTTCCTCTAAGCATACCCTTGAGTGAGGATTAAAAAAATTAAAACAATGAGATACTACTTCACACTTATTAGAATGGCTAAAATCCAAAACACTGACATCCATGTCAGCCAGGACGTGGAACAACAGGAATTCTCTTTACTTGTAAGAATAGAAAATGGTAGTCACTTTGGAAAATAATCTGGCAGTTTCTTACACAGTTTGCCATATGATCCCGTAATTGCACACCTGGATATTTATCCAAATGAGTTGAAAATTAATGTTCATACAAAAACCTGCACACAAATGTTTATATTGTAGAAGCTTTGTTCATAATTGCTGCAAAAGGGTAGCAACCAGATGTCCTTCAGTAGGTGACAGGATAAACAAACTGTGACATATCCAAACAATGAAATATTAATCAGTAAGAAAAAGAAATGAGCTACCAAGCCACAAAAAGTCAGAGAAATCTTTAATATACGTTGCTAAGTGAAAGAAGCCAGGCCCTGCTGATGTGGCTCAGTGGTTGAACGTCGACCTGTGCGCCAAGAAGTTGCTGTTC